AGGCAGCGCTGGCACCCACCTCTGGGAACCCTCTGGCTCTCAAGGCTCCTTCCTGCTGCTGGCAAATTGCAGGGAACTCAAAAGCCAAAGCTGTAGCAGCAACAGGATTTGAGCTCCAGCGTGTGAACAAATATCGGAGTCACTCCCAGAGTGACTGCGCTGAAAACAAGTTTCCTTTTCCTTTGCTTTTCATCTCCAGAGCTGCAGCTGCACAACCAGCTTCTGCGCTTCTAACAGGAAACATTCTCCATGACAAGGTGCTGCTGTCCATGGAGACACCAAACAAAAAAACACTCGAGGTTTTACTTTTCCATCTTACTTTATTTCACTTTTTCTAGAAAATTCCTCCATAGTTCCACAAATTTAACAAAAAGTTTAAAATTCAGGACAAACAATCCTGTAACATATTACAAACAGGTTTTTGTGGGGTTTTTTTTTTGTTTTTTTTTATTTTTAAATCTTGAAGTTAAGTCTTGGGCCAGCTGAATTTCTTACAGCTGAGTGAAGAATTCATTTCCCCAACACAACTTGGTTTGTTTTTTTTTAAAATCCTCAAGTGACGAGGTATTTAATACCTCGGCTCTAGGCAAGAAATACAATTTAAAATTTATCTAGAAGTTGAAGTACTTTACATTTTTTTCTTTAGGAGTGCAAACTCATCTTGTCAGTTTTTGATGGCTGTTTCACACCCCGCCCCGGGGGGAAAGCGACGCACCCGACTGATTTTCATCGGTTTCACAATTAACACTCGTACAAGGTGCACAACGGGCGCCTGCAGCACGGACAGGAGCGCGGAGCCGCTCGGGTCTCTGCTGGCAGAGAACGTGTCAGGGCAAATTCCACGAGGGAAATGTCAACTTTTCCCCCCCCCACCATCAAAAGACTTAAGACAAGATATGAGAAAAACTGCTTCTGGGATTGTTGCATCGATCGCTTTCGCTGGTTCTGACGCTACCACCGCCCGCAGCAACACAACTGGTGGCAAAAATCATTGCACGTCCATGGACAGAGCCTGGCCGGGCTCCTCACCTCTGTGTCCAACCTTCCTCAGCTGCTGCTCGGGATCCAGCCAGCCTCACTATCCTTTTGTTGTTGTTGTTTTTAATAGTAAATGTCAGTAATCAAAGCCTCAAGGCTTAATACACACACAGACCAAGACAACAGGAAAAGAACTCCTGACCCCGCTTTTGCCCTTTAATACAAAGGCCAAGGACAAAGGAAAAAGCCGTGTCCTGATCTCACCTCCAACACGATTCCATTCCAAGCGACTCCCAAAGCCTCCAGACTGCTCAGTTCACACCTTCAGTGACAAGATGAAGGACACTGAACAGAGTTCTGTCCATTTTCCTTGGAAAAACCATTATGGCTAGAAGTCAATTTGGGATTTTTATATTTTTTTTTCTCCTTTTTTTTTCTTTCTTTTTTTTTTTTTCTTTTTTTTTGTTTTCAAACAACGCAAGCTACTACACATCCTCGAAGACCTGAAGCAATGCCGAGGGCAGCACTGCCACCTCCTTCCTAGAGTACAATAATCCATCCATGCTCTCAAGAGTGACACAAAGAACAAACACTTGATCCACAAATACCTGTACACGGCATGTTCAGAACAGCGTCCAGCCAGCCTACAGAGAATCTACACAGGGAACTCGTTCATCTGGAACTAGAAAGGGGGGGGACACAAGATGAGGCCCAAATCTGACCATTCTTTGTTTGTAAAAGTCATTCCTCCTGCAGTCCCCAACGCTACCACATACCCCAAAGAACAACAACTCTGTAGAACAACTAAGTACTTGCAAGAAACCTTTTTAGTAACAAATCAGCATGTGCACACAATGGAAAAGAACTATTGCTGGGGGGGGGTGGAGGGT